CTTGCAGCAAACCCACAGCAAGCCGGCCTAGAGGACGGTGGGATGAGTTGTTTTGCTAACGAAGGGAGCCGCCCGCTTTTGCATCTGTGTTTTGGGTTTCATGTGTATTCTTATTCTAAAAGCTAAGCAAGAAAGTCGTGGTATGTTGCAACCTTCCAGCAAGAGGATTTATGGGTTTCTTTGGTTTTTTTTTTATCTCACTTTTCTGGAGGGGCATTGTGGATCCATGCCTGGGTGTGTACTCGCGTTTCTGGCCCACGCCGGGCCGGGCCTTTGCCGCTACTGTCAGCCACGCTAGCCGGGAACTGCAGACACTCCAAGAGCTGTAAAGCCGACCTACGCTCAGTTATCCAAACCAAGCACATGCCTTTATTATTTGCTCTGCACCGTCAGATTGCCCCTGGGTTTTGTGGCTTTTTGGAACAAAATGCCACGAGAGACCAATTTAGGGTTACCCGGAATTATTTTGCTCACTGGAAAAAGACAGCTGTTCCTCCTTGCTTATTCATAGATCAGGAGACGGTAGGGCCAGAAGGGGCTGTTAGCTCATCTCATCTGATCTGGATAGCACAGGGTAGAGAAATTCACGCAGTTACCTCTGCGTGAGGCCTGGTGACCCGTCTGCGGCTGAAACGTCTCTTCCAGAAACTAGCCAGGCCGCCTGAGAAGAGAAGGCGGGAGGAATCCATTTCAGCCCCCTTCCTGGGCAATGTTTGTGCCTGGTTTTTAATCCGAATGGATGCCATGTTCACTGCCAGCCGTGGGCCGGTCTCTGTCCTGCCTGTCTCTGCTAGGAGTTGTAACTCAGGGCAGAGCTGGGCTTCTCAGCCAGGCAGGCACCCCCAGGTCGAGGACCCCTCCTATCTAACAATATGGGAGTGGGGGTCCCTGCACCTTGTTACCCCCCAAATGAAAACCCTGTATGATCCAGCAGCCTAAGAGAACACGATCAAGTGACACAATTCTCCAGCACGTATGAAGTCACTGGCAGTGGCAGGAGAGCAACACCGATGTCAAATGCTGCCAGCTTTGTGTGGTGGCATGTTTGCACCAGTAGCAATGATTCCACAAGCGGTAGAGCAGACATGGATCGGGCCCATGCGAGGAGACAGGCTAGAGGCAGGGTGACCCCTTGGGAAGGGCACTGGATTGTAGGGTCACAGAACACTAGAACTGGAAGGGACCTCGAGAGGTCATCGAGTCCAGTCCCCTGCCCTCACGGCAGGACCCAGCACCATCTCCGGACCATCCCTGACAGGTGTCTGTGTATCCTGCTCTTCAATATCTCCAGAGATGGAGATTCCACAACCGCCCTGGGCAATTTATTCCTGTTGCACCACTCTGACCGTTAGGAACTTTTTCCTAACATTCAGCCTCCCTTGCTGCAATTTAAGCCCGTTGCTACTTGTCCTATCCTCAGAGGTTAAGGAGAATAGTTTTTCTCCCGCGTCCTTGTAACACCCTTTTAGATACTTGAAAACTGCTCTCGTGTCCCCTCAGTCTTCTCTTTTCCAAACTAAACAAGCCCAAGTCTTTCAGTCTTCCCTCATAGCTCATGTGTTCTAGATCTTTCATCGCTTTTGTTGCTCTTCTTTGGACCTTCACCAATTTCTCCACATCTTGCTTGAAATGTGGCGCCCAGAATTGGACACACAACTCCAACTGAGGCCAAATCAGCAGAGTAGAGCGGAAGAACGGCTTCTCGTGTCTTGCTCATAACGCTCCTCTTAATGCCTCCCAGAATCATGTTTGCTTTTTTTGCAAGTGTCACACAGTTGACTTGTACTTAGTTTGGGGTCTATGACCGCTAGATCCCTTTCTGCCATACTCCTTCCTAGACAGTCTCTTCTATTCTGTATGTGTGAAATGGATTGTTCCTTCCTAAGTGGAGCACTTTGCATTTGCCTTTCTTGAACTTCACCCTATTGACCTGAGACCATTTCTCCAGCTTGTCCAGATCATTTTGAACGGTGACTCAGAAGACCTGGTCTCTAATGGTATCGTGTCTAATTTAGGGAATTATTTTGCTCACTGGAAAAAGAGCTGGTCCCTTGTGCTTATTCATAGACCAGTAGACAGTGAGGCCGGAAGGAGCTGTTAGATCATCTTGTCTCTAACCCGGCTTCCCCACTGACCTGCTGGACGACTTGGGGTGAGACGTGTCCCGGCTTTGTGCCTCAGTTTCCCCGTTTGTACAGTGGGGATAGTGCTACTGTAAAGTGCTCTGGGACCTATGGGTGAAGAGCCCTAGATCAGATTAGCCGAGGGGATGACGTTGGGTCACCTTGAGCGGCTTGTGTGTATATGGAAGGCCGTACTTTAGTGTGAGGAAGAGGAAGGTTTTCTGACCATGACGCATGGGTCAGATTCATTTCTGCTGATGATTTGCAAAGCAGACGACAAGCCGCTCGCCAGCTTCCTGGGAGATTTAATCCAGTCCTGGGGGCTGCTTTGAAATCCCCGGGCACTGAGTTGGTGCATTAAATGAGATGGGAAGCGTTTAGAGGGGGGGAGTGTTGCTTTGTTCTATACGTGGGCCGTGCCTGGGTGCTACAGATTCCTAACTGGAACCGGTGTGGTGCTGACGGCTAGCCACGGGGCTTTGTTCTGCTTTTCTCCACTAGAAATTGTTGTACCGTGCAGGTCAGAGCTGGGCTTCTCCGGGCACTGAGTTGGTGCATTAAATGAGATGGGAAGCGTTTAGAGGGGGGGAGTGTTGCTTTGTTCTATACGTGGGCCGTGCCTGGGTGCTACAGATTCCTAACTGGAACCGGTGTGGTGCTGACGGCTAGCCACGGGGCTTTGTTCTGCTTTTCTCCACTAGAAATTGTTGTACCGTGCAGGTCAGAGCTGGGCTTCTCATCCACGCGAGACCCCCCCCCCCAATTCCACTCACACCCCCACGCCGC